GCCAGGTACTTCATGACAGAGACTGTCCTAGCCCCTTTGTCTGTATATCTTGGATTATATTCCTGCTTCCATACATTGTTGCTACCTGTTTGTTGTTGTTTTTTTTTTAAATTTTACTTCTTTGATACTAGCTTTACTGGTCATCAATTTCACTAGTTCCCACCCTTCTAGTTTAACTTTGAAAACATCTTTGAATGGTGGATATATCAAGTGTGTACACTTTTCAAGGGTTAAGCTCTTGATTACATGTTGCTTTGGTTGGATATTTGTCTCCTCCAAAACTCATGTTGAAATTTAATTCCTAGTATGGCAGTATTGAGAGGTAGAGCCTTTAAGAGGTGACTGGGTCATGAGGGTTCTGCCCTTATGAATGGATTAATCTATTCATGGATTAATGGATTAATGAGTTATAGATTAATGGGTTATCACAGAAGTGTAGGACTGGTGGCTTTATCAGAAGCAGAAGAGAGATCTGAGCTAGCAGACTCAGCCCCTTTACCATGTGATGCCCTGTGCCGGCCTGGGACTCTATAGAGTTCCTTCAAACAAGAAGGCTCTCAACAGATGTGGCTCCTTGACCTTGTACCTTTCAGTCTCCGTAACTGTAAGAAATTGATTCCTTTTCTTTGTAAATTACCCAGTTTCTGATATTCTGTTATAAGCAACATAAAATACACTAAGACACCTGTCTTTTTTTTTTTTTTTTTTTAACAATATGGCTTTAAAATACATTTAATATAAAGGCTGTTATATATTCCAGCTCTGCATAGGATATAAGTGTTCCTCCCATTTAGGATTGTGGTCAGATATATAGACTTTGTTTTTTAATATTTAGAATATGTGGACTTTGCCCATGTAATAGTTTAATGCCCTTTTCTTTTTGAAAATTACAACTGGGTTTTGTGAAATGATGGACTCACCACAGTTAATCCTGAATGACTTAATGAACTGCCAGACAGATTAAGGTAAAATGGTGTTCCAGAAAAGATCTTGATTTGTAGAATTAAGGGTGGCAAGAAACTTTATAATTGCTCCTTTCATTCCAGCGGGTAATTTTGTTAGGTGTAACTCATGTAATCTTAATATCTGAATGTGTTTAGTTTTATCCTGTTCTCATATAGGAAATCCCAGAGCAGGGAAGAAATAAATAGCTTGAACACCAAAGATACCAGAAAGTTACAGTCTAGGGAACTGTCAGCAAGGTTTGCTTGTAGTTTTGATACTGGTCAGTTGTGAGTCTTGCTAAGTCAAAGAACTTAGAAATGGACAAGAGAGGCTGCCTTTGTGCAGCCAATTAGCTGGTCTGGGCAGTCAATTTAACTGGTAAAATTAAGGCTTTATGTTTGGTAGGGATTTTCTGGCAGATTGCAAAATCTTGATTAAGTTAGCCCCAGTTTAATATGTACCTGAGATGGGCTTTTTTTTTTTTTTAATCCTTTACATTTTCTTGCTATAAACAATTACAAATTGGTCCCCTTCTTATAGGTAGACTTTATATACATTCCACAGCAAACAAAGTAAAAATCATATTTTTGAATGTACATATAATAGAATAATTGAGATGATCCTCAGATGCATGTCCCTTAGTAGAGTCATAGTAAAGGCATTTGCTGGCTGGCTGGAGTCATTGTTTTATTGCCTGTTTCAACTCAGAGAAATGAACAGATGAAGACTTGTATTAGAAGTACTCGTACACATAGGGAAAGCTTTGGAACATCTTTCACATTTTACTCAGGAGCAGCAAATCTTATTTCCACAATTTTATATATTATTTAACATGTTGTGTTATTAAGCATTTTTTCCCATCTGCATTTAATGAGACAGTTGTTTCTAACTTGTTCTTTTGAAATTTTTAATTGAAAATCTGTTTTTTTGAAACACATTTTAAAAATAAATATATGCTGTTCAGCTAGGTGGTAAAAACGAAAATGAGTATGAATGTATGTTTTCTGTAAGGGTTCTGAAAGCAATAATAGGATCTCTTTAAGCTCTACTGTATAGGGAGGCAAGCGATCCATCAAAAGCACAGTCTTAGATTTGGGTCTTCTATTTAGATTAGGAATGTTAAGAAAGATGGATGGTAAATGTCTTTTAGCTGCATTGTCCCCCAAACATGAAATGAAATCTAAAGACTCTCAAAGAAGGTTTCAATTACACTAGCAAATGACTTGAACAGGGATTGGGTAAGGGGAGGTCACGGGCCAATGGAATGCCAGTTGTGGATTTATATTGTTTAAAATGAAAACATTATTTCCATTAACCCCTTTCCACTAACACCTCCACCAGAGTTATTTTCAGACTGTACGTTTGTAGGTGTTAGTCATACTTGATAGAAATGCCGTATCACAAGTGTGAATTGCACAGCCTTTCCATGGATATATATTTTTTCCCTGTCCAATACACAATCCAGGGTTTCATTTGGCTAATCCTCTAGCGAGGTACTGGCATCCCTGTGTTTCTCAGACTTGATTTCAAAATGTAGCAGTAAGCTACCCAGTTGCAAAGAAGCATTTCTAAATGTTTTAATTAAAAACAGAATAAATGGATTCTGTGTTCTGGTTTTCTGTGATAACAGCCAATCGACTGCCAAATCACACTGTGCACTTGAGTTTGGGGAGGGAAAAGTCTAGGTTTAAGGGTGACTCTCAGTGGATTTGCCCTTAACTGTCAATGTGGGTTTAGTGTGGTTTTTGCCCTCTCATTGCAAATGGAGAAAAGAGTTGGTAAGCAGAAGATGAAGAATCCTTTTAATGAGTCGGCTATAGTGTGCACTCAGGGCAGACACTTTAAAAGAGCACCATTAATTTGAATAAAACAGGAGAAGGTAGGTACTTTGTACATCCATAAAGCACTGAAGGGGATAAATCCAATTATCTGTTCAATATTTAATGGCCATAAAGTTAAAAATTTTAAAGGCAGTACCTCAGAGACTGCTTAGTCAATTCTGTCCATATTATTTTTGACATTCAAAAGTCAAGGTAGAATAGCCATATTGATGGCAGTGCTCATCACATTGGTCTGCCGATTTAGTGGCAATGACCCTGGGATTTGTGTTTCTCTACACAGATGAAGATCAGTTGCAATTTTTTTTTTCCAGGAGCTTTTAGGGAAACCTTGGAATCTACTGAACTTCCAACCTGTTTCTTTCAGTCCTTTGCTATTGGCTCTTGCTATGAAAGGTAACTAAGGATGATTAACTTCAAAATTCAGATGCAAAAGAACCAGAGTAAAGATCAGCTATTTGGGCTAACACTGCTTTTAAAGAAAACAGAAGATTTTAATAAAATCTGTATTTCAAAAATTACTATCTAAGAAACTCTGTTAGAGACTCTCTTAAATTCCAACCCGATTTTTATAAACTTTTTGCACTGTACATATTTTCTAAGAAAGTCATGGGGGGAAAAAGATAATTTTTAAAGTCTGCCACCTCTGTCTATTCTACAGCTGTACTTAGCCGCTAATGCAGGTGGGCATTTGCTCTGTGGTTCAAAGGCAGCTGAATCATAAAGCTTCTAAGAAAATCGATGCCGTAGCGACAGTTGAAATGAATGTCAGTATGACAGAGTGATTTTGTGATATGGTCTTGAAGCTTTGTTCTTCTTGCCTATTAACTAATACGGGACCCTAATTAGCCATTAACTTGCTCTCACCTTGTATGGTCCAAACTATAGAAGTATATCTTACTGTATTTCAGAGAATGTAACTGCTAGTTACCTTTTCACTTATTCTGTTTTATGTATTTCCTTTTGCATTGAATATTCTCCTTTTGTACATTTCTGAAATAGAGCTGTATGCTCCCTGGGCATTGGTTAGCATTGGATCCCTTTCAACATAGCTTCAGTTGCCTGTAGCTATCTACCTGTTTATTTATCTAAACTAATACTGTGTACAGATAAATTTTGACATGATGCAGGTTTACTGTTAAAATGTTATAGAAGAATCATGAAGGAAGACAACTTTAAAATAGATTAAAGAAGCAAAAGTGAATACATTGCATGAATTAGGAGATGATAATAAGACTTCTGTTTTAAGATATGTCAGAGTTTTAAGAAGGGCCAACCTATTGTGAGTGCTTTTAAGGATTCTGGTTTTCCTTGGGAATACATGTAAAATCTTTTGCTTTTTCTTCTCTATTTTGCTACCTCTTTTCCTTTAAAGGGAGACTTGGTTTGTTTTACTCTATTTTCATATGCAAATTCTGCTTATTCTTGTCACAAGTACCATCTCTAAGGATGATACTTGCTGAAATCTAAAACTCTTTAGTGTTTCTGGGTCTTAACAGTTTTAAGTAGATTGTTCCTTGTTTTGCTCCAAGTGTCTTGAGTGATTTGGCTGTTAAACCAGCAGAAACCTTTGTTTTCTTAGTTTCCTGTAAAGGAAATAAAGGTGGAAAATAATGATTTCCTGGATAATTCAAAGAGACGATTTAACATACAAATCCCTAACATGCCACTATACAAGGACTTGTAAATCAGCTTATGTTACAACTCAGCATGACAAATTGTTAAACTCATTTATTTTTAAAGAGCTTTTATATGTGATACATGTTAAAAGAGCCAAGAAGAGTGGGACTTTTAGCACTCTTCCTCTTGAATATAACATATGTTTCTGAACTCTTATTGGGGCATTTCATTTGTTTGCTCATTTTCATCTGTACAGCCCTTAAGCTGTATGCTTTTTGAGGACAGGAAACCTCTCTTGTGCATTTTATATTGCTAGAATGTATTGTTTTTTTCTTGTATGATTTTCTCCCATGCCTTTATATTACCTGTATTATTATTTACATAACATTTCTCTTTAAATTGGTTTACTTTTTTACCCAACCTCATTCAAATCAGTATTAGCCATGAAATTACAGGTTTGTTGGGCTGTATCTTCTTTTAATACATATTAATATTTACAATAAAATCCTAATTATTGCCATGCATGGTGGCTCACACCTGTAATCCCAGCACTTTGGGGGGCCAAGACAGGTGGATCACTTGAGGCCAGGAATTCGAGACCAGCCTGGCCAACATAGCGTAAACCCTATCTCTACTAAAAATACAAAAATTAGACCAGTGTGGTGGCAGGCACCTGTGGTCCCAGCGACTTGTATGAGGCAGGCTCATGGCTTGAACCCGAGAGACAGAGGCAGAGGTTGCAGTGAGCTGAAATTGGGCCACTGCTCTCCAACCTGGGTGACAGAGTGATACTCTGCCTCAAAAACAAAACCAAACAAAAAAAAACAAAACAAACAAAAAAAACCTAATTATTAAAACTTACTAAATTTTATTTGTGTACCATTTATAGTCATCTCATGTATCATACTTGAGGACTGGTGCCCTAGCATAGCCTTGCACATTTTCACATTTAGTCATTATTTGTTTAATTGTTGGGGAGAGGGAATAAGATTCATGCACTTAGTGTGTCAAGTGTTGTTTTCAATAGTTTATATATGGTTTCTCTTAATCCCTATTACTACCAAATGAGAAAGATGTATTCATTTTATACATAAGAAAAGTGAGGCTCAGAAAGGCTAAGTGACTTTTCTAAGGTCAAATAGTTTGGCAAAAATTAGAGCTGAGATATGAACCTAGGTTTATCTGATTTCAAAGCCTGTACTGTTTTTGCTACATATTGTGGACTCTCAGTAATTAGTGGGTTAACCTTATGCATTACTGTCTGCTTTCCTGTTGTTATTCCTCTGTGGTTAGACGAGAGTGGACGCTGAATGGTATTTACAGTTTGTAATTTTCTTCTGGAATTGCATTTTGCATGGTCTTGAAAGTTGTCCTTACCACCTACTTTTCAAGGTTTGTATGAAAGGAAGCCTCTTAGCTCTACTGCGAGGAATATGCTTGCTTTGGATTTTTAAAAAGTGTTGCTAATGAAGAGTTTAGACATATATTAAGCTTCTTATTTAAGTTAGAGGTAGCTTCTCTCTCTCTACCTGTTTTTCATTTTATGTAGCCTAGATCATATTATGCTTCAGAGATAAAGCCTGGAGATAATTTGATTCTTATCCAAAATGAGTCCCATTTTCAGCATATCCATATGCTCATCTAACCATTGCTTGATTACCTCCAATTATGGAGTCTCACTGTCTCCTCTTTAACTATTACTAAAAAATGAAAGCCTCGATAGCCATAGTCTTTCAATAGTAATATCCTACTACTTAAAAGTTGCAAGGTGGCCTAATGTTTGCTTATTCAATTTATTTATTTTGGTGGTAGAAAATAGAAAAAGTTGTAAAAATATTGTTTGCCTTTTGATAAATTCAGGAAACTTTTTCTATTTCCCCTTAAATCATTTGGTTTCCATCTCAGATAATCATTAGGGTTTCATTCTCATTCAGCTGGGTAGCATACCCAGAGATTGTTAAACAATCTCTTACACTGATGGATGGTTTAATATTTTGAAGATAGCACACTGTAGCACTTTTAAGAGAATAATCAGGACTGGCATGTGAGAGCTGTGAATTGCTTGAGTTCAAAATCAGAGCTAGTGTAAATGCAGTTTTGCGTAACTTCTCTTCGGCTGCCAACTGACCATTTTATACTTCTTTTCTATCACCCGATTGTATTTTTCTTGGTTTCCTGTTTGACTTATTTTCCAAATTCACTTTAATCTCCGAAATTATGGAAATAAGGAAATAGAGGAACTGTATTTCTTCCTTTCTGAGTGCCTGAGTCTCATCTGGATACTCTGGTTTTAAACATGAAGGGGCTGTAAATCCTAGGAACACAATGTCTTTTGAGGACTGGAACTAGTATGTCTTCAGAACTGACTTCAAATAGTTTATTTCCACCCCATTGATCTGGCCTATATATGTTGCTTTTTATTATATAGTGTATACTGTAGGGATAGGAAGAGGCTGCAGTTTTACTATTACCTCATAAAATTAATTGGTGCCTAAAACAAATATTATTAAAGATAACTGCATTTTATAACATACCAACATGATAGATACAGCTTCTGTAGGGAGGTTTTTTTTGTGTGTGTGTTTATGTCAATAAACTCATAAAATCTGCAGAATGAAATTAGTCATAATCTCATTTTTACTATCAAAAGGTGAAGTTGTTCAGAAGTGTGACCACATAGTTCCCCATAATGGCACAAACAATTAAATAATTTAAAATATCTCCATAACACAGGGTTTTGCTCATATCAAGAAATAATCACCACCCCTTCCCTGCTGAATGTAAGGAGCTTAGCTTTATTGAAGTCAAAAAATCTAGTGCAGTGCTTTGTCAGTTAGTGAATATTTTGAGCTTCTTTATTTTCCCTGTTGTTTTTTTTTACACAAATGTGTGAAATGTTGGTCTCACAAGAAAATCAGACTATATTTGGTCTTGTAAAATGTAACTCCATTGTCCCCATGCTAGACTGGATTTCTTTTTAATGTGCTGTTTTCCTCAACCCAACCTTTCTATGGGGAAGAGTAATAAGTTTATTGTCAGTATTGTGAATATTTTAATTGAAGATAAACAAGTTTTCTTTTTAAATGTCTTCAGTATTACATATCTTCAGTTTTATTATCCTAATTTTAGTAGATTGGCAAAGCCTGATAATCTTAACAGCCCTAACCTGATTCAGCATTCATTACTGCTGCTAAATCAAATAAGACTTGGCTAATAGAAACATGGCTTGTGCAGCCATTCTTCAATTTAATTAGAATATTATACATTGCATTGCACTTATATGTGTATACCAGAGACAGAACTTTATAATCAGTTTGGAAGCACTCATGCTACATCCTCTATCTAGAGACATTTATCATTTCTTGTGAAAACTCTAAATTATTAAATATCACATCTTTAAGGGGTGAAGATGGGGCTAGCTCACTTAATGTGCCATCAGAGGTTAGGAATTTAGGTCTCATTCTGCTATAGCAGAGATTGGCGAACTTCTTCTGTAAAGGGCAAGGTAGTAAATGTGTTAGGCTTTGTGGGCCATATGGTCTCTTTCACAACTACTCAGCTCTGCTGTTGCAGTGTGAAAGCTGCTGTAGACAATATGTAAACAAATGAACATAGATGAACCAATAAAACTTTATTTACAAACACTGAAATTGAATTTTATATAATTTGCATGTGCTGTGATATATTCTTAAGAATTTTTTTAACCATTGACAAATGTAAAAGTATTCCTAAATTCTAGGCTCTACAAAAGCACAAGGTGAGCTGGATTTGGATCACAGGCCTTAGTTTGCTGACCCCTATTCTGTAGTTTTTCCTTTCTTACTGTATTTTAATTTTCTTATTCATATATTTATGTACTTATTTACTTATACTTCTTTGATTATTTGTTTGCTCTGTATCCATGCAGCTTTCCATAGTGTAGGAAATGTGGGTGGAATGAATTTTCCTGTCATTCTCTTATCTACTAGTCTCTGCTTGATGTAGCAAAGGAGAATCAGGTGTTCAACCTCCAATGAGAGTAATTTCTGATATCAGTTGGTAGTTGCTGTTTAATTCTCAAGGTTCAGACAAGGCGGCAGAATTGACTTATCTCATTTTCACATTCTGGGAGATGATCTGTTAGTCCTGAGGATGCTGTCAGTTTCCTGGTATTACTCTCCCTGCGTGGTCATTAACAACAGCAGAGTCCATAAATTGATCCCAGGTTTGAATTGTAAGTTGTTGGCCCTGAAAACTTGGTGAACAAACTTGCTGTCAGTGTCCCTATTGACAGAAGTAGTCTGAGGTCAGCTTCATTACTGCACCCTGACTGTCTCATACATTGTCAGTTGATTTTTAGGTTGTGTGCAAGAGGGTTCTTGTTTCAGACACTTGCTACCAGACATATTCACCTCAAATATTTACAGTACAATGAATCATTCAAACATAAGGTTGGCAGTGTCTTTTTTAAATAGCATTCATGAAGGACTGGGTTAATTCATCAGACACAGATTTTGAGAAATTTTTTCCTCTTAAAGCAAAAGTTCAATGTGCTAATCAGTGGCAACTCTGTCATCTGACACTATAGATACTTGTCTCTTTGTCATTGAAGCTTGCCACTGGTATCTTTTGCAAGAGTAGACATGTTCTTATCTATGAAGTATTTTCTAGATTCACTTAGAAAAAAATAAAGTGAGAATACTAGTTTCTTTTTTGAATAATAGAACTTAAAGTTGGATCGAGGTATATGAGTTATTACTATTGCCCATTTCCTAGAATTATTTATTAAGTAGGGGATTTTACTCATTGTCAAATTTGTAATTTTAGCTAAGTTCTGAATAAATCACCTTGTGATTTCTTGCAAACATTTTCAGTCCTTGTTTTGCGTTACCATGGAAGGAAATTTAACAAAAGTACTTGCTCTAACTCCTGGGTATTTTTAATTATTCATTTATTTTTGGTCCTGTGGTTTCTCTCTATGAGGTGATTGGAACACACCAGACCTCTCAGAAGTGTTCTACTATTTCCCTCCTCAGTAAGCAAATTATTTGCAAGTGACTTGAAAATAACTTCAAGTATTGGAGAGCTTTCTTCACAACCACCCTTGCCAATGTTTTAGGTGGTACACAAAGTTCTGTAGGTCAGCTTGAAATCATAATGCTTGCAAGGAAAAAAAATTAAAATTGACTTCAAAGGACAACTCTGACACGGTCAATTAATAATTAAAACAGTTTTTTAATGAGCTATGCAATTACCTGTATGTCCCTGGAGATGATGGTTTATGGTATTATTGCAGTGCCCTTTCTTTAGTCATGGCGCATGACATTTGTAATTTAAAGCCGGCTAGACATTAAAGTGACAGAACTTTCATTAACCTTGTCTAAAGTTTGCTGATGACAAATGACTTATAAAACATGCTGTTGTCAAAATATACCACATATTTAAGTACCTTAAAAGTCCTGTGGTCTCTGAGAAGCTATAGAGACTCAGAGAGAGACCAGGGCCACCAGTGTCCTGTGGAATTACTTGACAGAATCCCCGGTGTCTGGCATTATTTCTTTGTACTCAGGTAAGTGGTATCTGCTTCAGACAAGAGCGTAATGTACTTTTCATGGCTCTGTGGTTCAGGTAGGTTTCTCATGGGTTTTTATGCCACATGACATGATTCTCTCAATCAGTGATTTATGACTATTGAATAGTTTCTTCTAAATATGCTTTGGTATATAAACTTTCAAGTCTTTAGAAGCAGTTTTTTCAATTTGAAACCATTTAGCAATTATGTTTTGATTTTAGCTTTTCTTGTATCTTGGCTTTCTAAATTCTTAGCCCTCTGTTTGTGCTATGCCATACCTCTGTTTTTATTGTTTTCTTCCTCTTATTTGAAATTTTCGTTTTTTTATACACACTATGTAAAACATCCTCTAATTTTTTAAGATTTTTCTCATCATATTTATTTTAGAGGAATATCTTGCAATGCTATCAAGGGAGATATTGCAGGTGGATATCTTTTTATAATTATAACAGTAATAAATATATAGTAATTAACATTAATGTGCAGGTATTTTTTGCCAGGTATTAAGCTAAGAGTTCTATCTCATTTAATCCTCGTGGTAGCCAGAGCTTATAGCACTGTTTCCCCGTTTACAAATTTGGAAACTGAAGTACAAAAAGATTAAGTACTTGCTTACTGTCTCACAGCTTGTAGGTAACCAGGATTCAAATTCTGACTGACACCAAAGATATTATTAGTAACCACTAAGCAACATGGCCTCTCAACTTATTTTTGTTTTTTCAGAGTAAATTATAAGTTTGTTGTCTGGAAAGATAAAGTATAGCAAACTTATAATTTATTTATTATTTAATAATTATAACCACCTTTAATAATTAAATAGAATTGCTATCGTCCTGTTCATGCTATGGAATATACCAATAAATATATGCTGGATAACATATCAGCAAATATGAATTTAATATTATAAGCAAAAGTTGAGTTTATGTCTTATTCAAGAGACTTGTTAAGAGAAATTATAACTACCTTTTAACTCAAGTGGCATATAATAGGTATTTCATAAGTATTTGGTATTAGTATTATTATTAGCATACTCCCTGCATGTAATATATCTTGATTCTTTCTTTCATGAGTCTGTGTTTCATGATTGGTTCCATTATAGAGACTACAACTTCAACAACACATTGTTTTATCTGGTTAATGTCCATACATTTCTTAAACACTATGTAAGTATTATACATTACAAAATATTAAATACTTTCATTTTATCAAATACATTCCTGTGTTCATATTGCTGAATAGTAGTCTGGATTTCTACCTACTGATCTCTTAACTATTTTTTGGTTGAAGTATAACACCAGGGAGGTAGACATAGTATAAATGTATAGCTCAGTAAATTGTCACAAAATAAACACCTGAGTAACCATTACCGAGGTCAAGAACTTTGCCAGTAGCACTCCAGAAGCCTTCCTCATGGCCTCTCAAAATTACTACTCTTCCTTCCTCCCCAGTGATAACCAAGATTTGAACTTTAATGCCATAGTTTTGCATTTTCTTTGTTTGCTTTCGCTTTTGACATTTTTTAAATTTCTTATTGTTGAAAATGTCAAACATACAAAAGTAGAGGGCATAGTGTATTGAATATCATGTTCTTATCACTCTACTTCAACAATTATTAACTCATGACCAATGTTAGTTCACCTGTAATCTCATCCACTCTCCCTACCATGGATCATTTTAAAGGAAATTATAAACATTGTATTACCTCTCCATAATTTTTTCAGTATATATCTCTAAAAGTCAGGGTTTCTTTTTTAAAAAGATAACCATAATAATATCTTCTTACCTAAATACTATCATACCAACAATATCCAGCCAGTATTAAAATTCTATAATTGCCTTATATTATTACTTTGAAAAAAAAAAAACCTTCTTATTTGTTGAATCAAGAGCCAAATAAAATCCATGAGTTATAACTACTTGATTTGTATGCCAAGTGCTTTTTAATCTATAGCTCCTTCATCCCTTTTTTCTCCCTTGAAGTTTAAGAAACTGGACTGCTTGACCCACAGTTGCCTACAGTCTGATTTTGCTTATTATATCTTCCTGATGTTGTTTAACATGTTAAAAAAAATTTTTTTTGATTTCTTGTTAGTCAAATAAGAAGTGTATCAGATGCAAGCTTACTTTTCTTTTTGAGGGGATGGGAGGGTATAAAGGGCAAGAATACTTCATAGGTGGGTACATAATGTCTGTACCTTTTTGTATGCATGTGATGTCAGTAACCATTTGACAACCAAGATTTATTCTTTCAGTGAAGGCCATAAAATGGTGAGGATCTATCTTATTGCCATTCCTTCATAAAGAGGAACTTCCCCTTATTATTTAACTTAAGGTGCAGTATATATACGAATGGCAAGATAAATGACTGATTCTTTACCTTTATTTACCAATTTTCAAAATAATTAGTTGGTTCTCTAGCACCCTTCAAAGGTAATCATGAAAGTTTTGTTTTGCTTTAGTATTATTTTGAATTTATAGGGTTAAACATACTATGCTTCAATCCATTCAATAATTATTCTTATTGATGCTCAAATTATCCTGTTTTTGGCCAGTGGAAGACTCTTTTACTATGACCCCAGAATCTTTGCTAATATCTTTTTCTGATAGTGATAAGATATTCCAGGCTCATCTTAGAAAGTTTTTTGTTTTGTTTTGTTCTTGCCTCAAACCTGGAATCAGCTATTTCTCCTAGAAGCTCATTTCTTTTAGTGGGAAATGTTATTTAGAAACTATACTCTGGTCCCTTGGGTATGCATATTCTTACTGGATAGGTCATTGTTTTTAGATCTTTTTAGTGTACAGAACTAGGAAATGTATTGCTGTTGTCTTAAAGATAAAATGCATAAGGACTCCATTTTGAGTTTTCAATTCAAATTCAAGATTACATAGCTTTCACTTAAAATCATGCATTTGTGTTTTCATTCATGCATGTGAAAAATCCTGACACCAGCATTAAAGATTCTTAAACTGGGATACATCATACACACAGTGATGTAGTTTCTGGAAGATAAAGCTTGGTATCTACTTTTTTAACAAGTTCCACAGGTGATTCTGATACTTACCAAAGGATGAGAACCACTGATCTATTTTTTATGAACAATTTTATGTTATAGATTTTAAACAAAACCTCCCATTTTCTTCTTAGAATCCTCCCTTTTTTCTTGATTGTCCATCCACATTGGTTTTTTTTTTTTTTTTTTTTTTTTTTTTTTTTTGACACAGTGGGCACTCTGTCGCCCAGGCTGGAATGCCATGGCATGATCTCAGTTACTGCAGCCTCCACCTTCAGGTTCACACAGTTCTCATGCTTCAGCGTCCCGAGTAGCTGGGGCTACAGGTGTGTACTACCACACCCAGCTAATTTTTGTATTTTTAGAAGAGATGGGGTTTCGCCATGTTGGCCAGGCTGGTCTAGAACTCCTGACCTCAAGTAATCCACCCTCCTCAGCCTCTCAAAGTGCTAGGATTACAGGTGTGAGCCAATGTGCCTGGCCAAGATTGACCATATTCTTGATGAGCCACCTGTGTAGAATCCGAATTATTTTCTTGTTTAACTCATATTGCTCTGTGCATCTGATAGAAAAGACTACAGTTATTTCACTTCTGTGAAAGCCAAGCTGCAGTTATCTTTGACCACTTGGAAAGCTAAAATACAGGTGAACCCTCAGAACTAAGGCTCTGCCTGAGGCCAGAGACAGAATCCTCCCTCATTGCTTTGAGCAGAATGCCTGGTACTGGAGCGGATTTGCTTAAGGGCAACTCTGCATTTGATAAAATATCAGAGCAATTTACGTCCTTGTACGCTTGTTCCCTTTCTTTCCTCTTATGCAGAAATGTTAATTGACAATCAAAGAAGTAACAAGGGCACATCTTTACTACTTCTGCAGATCTAGGCCTGGTTTGGGTTATGCCTTCTTTCATCCATGCTCATCTGAGAGTTCCAGTGTTTTCCTTGTTCTTGTTTCTGCATTCAGAGTTCTAAAATTTGACTCTGGTTGGTCATTTTATCACTTTTCTCTTAGAATAGATTATAGATCTATATCAGAACATTTAATTTTTAATTGATTTGTATTGATAATAGGTGAAAAAGAAGTTAATTAGCCTGGAAATGACTACATCTTAAGGTCAGATTTTGGTTAAAAATATAATCACATTAATTTTGAGAATCTTTGAAGTTTATTTAATGTTAGCTATGTTTTATGTTAAATTTGCAAACTTTCACATTATTATCAATGTTCTTGAGAGGGAGGCAAAGATATTCTCAATTTATGATGCAAAATGGAACTTTAGTTCAATTATTTGACCTCTGTGATTTAGGTCACACATCTTGTAAGTGGGGAAGCAACTACTCAGTCCGATTCCAGGTATTTTTTCTGTTATAAAGCACACTCTTAAAAAAAAAAAAAAGAATTCAAAGTAGCTTCCTAAAGTACAATGCAAGAAAAATAATTTTAGGAAAGGTCAAAAACGATTAGAAGAAAGAAGTGAGAATTCTGTTAATTTGGTTTGGCTTTGAGCTTTCTGTTTGTTAGCCAAGATATAAAGGGAAAACTTTGGCTCATAGAATACTTATCTGATTAAAGAAAGCACATGAATTCACATGGAATGTGGACTTTTTTTTGGCATTGAATTCTGTGAAGAATATATTATATGATCCTACTGGGGATATTTGTAACAGTGAATTATACCCTCACGGCTGATTTTGTAAAAGATATAAAAGTAAACCTCAAATGAGCATTTTTCATACTCTTCTTAACCATTATCATGTGAACTAATTGTCAGGGTTTTGGGCATGATTATATCAGATGAAAAAGGTACACAATATATGCTTAAGTGAAGCATTGACGCTAGGTTTTGGTGTTGATGTGATGTATCTTTTTTCATTATTTTACTTTTAGCTTATTAGTCTTTATGTTTAAAGTGAGTTTCTTATTATAAGTATGTAGTTGAGTCCTACTAAAAAAAAAATCCAAACTGACAATCTCTGCCTTTTAATTGGGTATTTAGATCATTTACCTTTAATGTTCTTACTGACATGATTAATTTTTAAATTATCTTACTATTTTTTATTTGTCTCATCTATTCTTTGTTCTCCTTTTCTGCTTGTTCCGTCTTCTTTTGTGTTAATTATTATGAGTCTAGTTTATCTCCTCTGTTGGTTTAATAGCTGTAATTCTTTGTTTTAGCGCTTATTGTATATATCTGTAACTTATCAAAGTCTATGCAAGTGATGTTATGCCACTTTATATGCAGTCTAAGAACCTTATGACTGTATGCTTCTATTTTCCTCTCTCAGCCTTTGTGTTATTTTTGTCATTTTACTTTTATGCATATACTATAAACCCCATAATACATTATTATTGTTTATTCAATTAGTTATCTTTTAAAAATTAAAAAATAAATAATTTAAAATATCTTATAAATAATAACAGAAAAGCCTTATATATTTACTCTTTATAAAGTGCATTTTTTTGGTGTACTTTATTCCTCCTTGTAGATCTATATTTCTATTATTTTCCTTCTGCCTGATAACTTTCTTTAACATTGCTTGACATATGGATCTATTGGCGATGAAGTATTGCTTCTTTTATTTTGCAACCCCCTCCTTTTTTATAATTGTTATTGTTCAGGTAGGACAGTAAATCTGGTCCCTGTTAACTTCATTTTGGTGAGAAATAGAAGTCTTCATTAGTTTAAATGTAGGTTAAATTGTCAGTAGTTAATGCTAAACTCCTTAATAGCTGAGCTGTAGTGACATTAGGAATTCACTGTGGGTGCTTCTGCCTTTCTTTCGCTGTCAGTATATAGGGATCAGGGTGGAAAACTATAAAACCCAGGTTGTATTCCTCTGTACAGATAGTGCAGCTGTACTTAGTCTACTTGGGCTGCCATAGCAAAATACCATAGTGTGGTTGGCTTAAACAACAGAAACCTCTGTGATTTAGGTCACACATCTTGTAAGTGGGGGAGCAACTACTCAGTCCGATTCCAGGTATTTTTTCTGCCTGGAGGCTGGAACGTCCAAGATCAAGGCATTGGAAAGGTTGGTTTGATTCTGAGACTCTTCTCTTGGCTTATAGACAGCCAGCATTTCTCTGTGTGTTTAGATGACCTCTTCTTTGGAAATGCATATGTGAGGGGGGAAGACAAAGCAAGCTCTCTGATGGCTCTTTTTTTAAGGACACTAATGCCATCATGAGGGCCTCACTCTCATGACCTCATCTAACCCCAATTTCCTGAAAAGGGCCTGACTCCAAATACCCACTCATCAGGGCTTAGGATTTCAACATGAATTTTGTGGGGATACAAACATTCGGTCTATAACAACAGCCATGAGTTATAGTGTTTTGTGAACCTGAATCTTCTTATAACTTGTACTGTATGTGGCTAAGGACCAGAGCCATGCATCTACTCTGATCTCTTTCTTATTACCCCTTTAGGCAGTTCTGCGGTACTATAAGGAACACTTACCCGTCAATAGATTAGATGACTAGAACCCTACGTGTACTTGTCTGGAAAGAGAATTTTTGTTCCTGTAATTCTTTTTGAAGTGTCAAGAACTTATTTAGTTTCACTGGATTAAAGAGAGCAAAATTATCAGCTTGAATCAGGAGCAACTTGAAGGAAGAGATCAGGGCTATGAAGCCTGTTGGGAGATCTGCATTTATAAGGAGATGGTTTCAGCAAGGATAAGTCATATCTTAACATCTTAGTCTTAAAGGACAGATTTGTTGCAAAGAAAATGGAAATGGAAGGAAAAAGTGCTAAGTCTTTTTTTCGTGGCAACATTTCAGAATTATGTATTGTAGCTCAAATTTTGCTTTTGCTTCTCCCTTCAGTTAATATTAGAATTAGAAGCCTTATCAGACACAGTGTTGTTATTTCTGCCTAACCAAAGCTGTGGACAGGTGAAACCTGTAAAGATATTAATGAAATGAGAAATTTCATGTAAATGAGGTGGTTGAATTTTATTTTTGTTGTTAATGTTAGGTGATTGCAAAATCTGCTTATTTTGTTATAGAGATTCCAGGATGCCAATATACCCTTAAATTTGTTCAGAATTTTATGTGGGATTATAATTTTCTATTTTAATTTACTTTATAACTTGTTAGCTATTCTTTCTCTAAACATCTGAGAGATATTTTTCTTCCCAGCTTTAAAATTTAATTGAAAAATAAAACTGTGACTATGTTTTGTTAAGTTAAACAATACATCTCTGCCAGGCTTCTTAAGGCAAATAGGATTATAAAATCTTACAGGCCCAGTTCATATTACTCGCTCTGAACAATGAACTAACCACTCCCATAGAATCCTAGGAGAGTTTAAAAATGAAATTACAGCTTTCTTAATGTTTCTCACATTTGCCCAAAGGTTTAAAAGATGGTGCCATAAGAAATACATGAAGGTGACCTTGGAAATATATCCAAAGAAGGTGCCGTGGAAATTATCTTTCTTTTAGTGGCCTCTTTGCAGTGAGATAGGGTTATTAGGGGCATTTTATTTTTCTGTACCTAGTAAAATCTGTTGCTTACAATGATTCCCTGATGCCTTGGGTAAGGAAAAGAGGCTTCCCTTTGTAGGATTCATCTAACAAGTTGTTATTGCTTACCTAATTTTTTTTTTTAAGTTTTTTTTCACTCTGCTAGGCACTGGGGAGCTGTAATGACTAAGAGGACCTCTTCTCCTCTAGAACTGCACTACTAAATCAAAGAGTCACTAGCCACCTTGGCTATTTCAATTTAAGGTTAATTAAAAATTCAGTTCCTTAGTAGTACAAGACACATTACAAGTGCTCAATAGCCATATGTGACTATATTGGACAGCATATATATAGAACATTCCTGATATTGCAGAAACTTCTGTTGGATAGTACTGTACTAGAAGTTATTATTCAGATTTATTTACAATATATGGTTGTTGTAGTAGTGGTTTTTAGTCTTAGAGTCATGTTAACCTAGAGATGGATAGGCAAACAAAAATATGCTACAAAGAAAATTATTATGGGCTATTCAGGTGTTCTTGTTACTGTATGTGCCCCTAATATTAGGATTTTCTCCACAGAACATTATCACTCAAAAAAGAAGTCATTATATATATTCAGGTTCTTACAAAGGCTCTAATATTACCAACTAATCTTTCAATTACAGTACTTTATTTTGAACATCAAAATGGCTTTCATGAATGTTTGCTTATGATTCTTGAAGAAGTTACTGGTAAAATCAGATTTAAAAAGAAGAAAGAAAGAAATTTAACACAAATTTAGTAATTTGGGCATGACCTCACAACTACAAGTGTTGGGCATTATTGTAAACAACCCTTTTTAAGAGCAGATAAAGCAACACCACAAGTGTCATTGCTATGAAGATCACAGTTATGTGCCTGCAGGATGTTTGACAAACTGTCCTGCTATTTAGCAAATTGGTACTTGTGGTAACTGTGTCATACATGAATTTTAAAAAGTGTTATACCTCAAACAATCTAGAAGGAAAGATGATTTGCTCAGGAAAGTAAAAAAATGACTCTAGTGATAATAAAGACACTTTTGTACCTGGGGAGTTCTTAATGAAATGTGAGAGAAAAGAAAACAAGGAGCTTTTCTAAATTAAGTATGCTTTATAATATGCCATGTGATTTTGAATGTGCATCCAACTAAATGAAGGAAATACTATACCTAGACATTTAACCATTTCAATCTCAGTCTTAAAAGTTAATGTAGCTGGGTGCGGTGGCTCATGCCTGTAATCCCAGCGCTTTGGGAGGCTGAGGCGGTCAGATTACCTGAGGTCAGGAGTTCAAGACCAACCTGGCTAACACGGTGAAACCCCATATCTACTAAAATACAAAAATTACCTGGGCATGGTGGCAGGTACCTGTAATCTCAGCTACTTGAAAGGCTGAGGCGGGAGAATCACTTGAACCTGGGAGGCAGAGATTGTAGTGAGCGAAGACCAGGCAATTGCACTCCAGCCTGGGTTACAGAGTGAGACTCAGTATCAAAAATAAAAATAAAAAAAGTTGTTTAAGGAAATCATCTCATATGAAAAATGGGCGATCATCTTATATTTAGGATTCATTTAAATTTGAATTTGGATATATAAAGTATCTACTTCTGGAGATAGCCTTCCTGTTTTTTTCCTAAGAAATTCTAAGTGTTTCCAGAGAATTGATTAAAATTTGTTAAACTGCAGAAAGTGAAATCAGAAGACTACTGAATAATTTCTGAAAATCATGTTAAAATATATAACATTTATATGCTAAAAGTATATAAGCATGCTAAAAGTATACAGAAAAGAAAACCTGTAAGGAAATGCAACAAAATGTTAATAGTGGTTGATTGGGCAGTGGGATTCATGTTCTTGTTACTCCTTTATTATTTTCTATCATAAATATACATTATTTCAATTTCTATCATGAATATACATTGTTTTATTAGTTAGAATAAAAAGAAAGTGTAAATGATCACTTAAAGAGAACTCTTGATTTGATGTATAGGTTCATCCTTCATCGGCTAACTCAAGCAAATGGAAAGAAACTTCTTTGTACAAAGATTAATTCCACATGGGCTTTGGGTGCTTTTCTCAGAGAAAACAGATGGTCTAGCCAGCATACCTTGTTTGTTTTTTAATCTCTAATAACATTCAGGATGTCATACAAAAGAGAAGTCTTGGAGATTCTTACGTATATGATGATTATTTTTAGAGATGGGGCCTCACTATGTGGCCCAGGCTGAAGTGTGGTGGCTGTTCACAGACACAATCATACCTCACTGTAGCCTCGAACTCCCGGGCTCATGCTCTCCTCCTGCATTAGCCTCTGGAGTAGCAGGACCACTGGCACATGGCCATTGTGCCTGGCTTTACGTAAGTTATTAAGACTTTTGTTCAGCATATCAGGGTAACAATTGCATGGCCTATCCCAAAGTCTGAAATATTTCAAATTCCAACTGACAAGATGCTAGGATATTCACAAGAAGAACTGACCACACATAAAATTGTTTAAATGTGCTCAGCACTTTTCAGACATTTCATGTTAATTCCTAATGAAATAATGTAGAAAGATTACTTTGGGGGTAAAGGTAATTTAGGCCTGTTTTGTTTTGTTTTTTGGTGTTGACCTACTCTGACCTTGAGTAACGTAAGTCATATATTTCAAATTTCCTCTATGTTACTCCTCATTTGACACCTTAATAAAGTTTTTGGTTTTGTTTTTATAAATTGCCTTGACCTATTTGAAGGAAATGCATGTTCTAAGAAATTTGAACACAAATGTATTCTTGGGATGCTATATTCTTCTTTTCTTTCTCTAGCGCCGTTTTTTATATCATACAGATTTGGAAACAAAATGACTTATTTCTTTGCATGTTGTATGATGAGTGGAAGAAAAGAAAAAATTAGCAACTCTTTGCATATAGGAAGAGACTTTTCAGGATCTCCTAGGGGATATGAACTCCCAGGTACTAGAAGACTAACCCTCTTCACAACCTTACAAAATCCTGTACAGATGACCTATGTGTAAAATACACTGCCTGTTGCTTTGGACATCACTTGACACTAAAAAGCTATGCATTTTGTATTTTTGCATGTCAGAATCTTAGCCAGAGGAATTAAAAATAAATATTTAACTAGGTTCCTGACTTTTCCTATCAAGGAGACACTGAGACAGGCAATTTGCTTAGCAAGTCTTTTTGTTCACCTGTTTTTGTGCTGTGGAGAAATGTGATGTTTGCTTCTGATGATTCCAAATGTGCATGTATTAGATGGCCAGAGCAGAATATAGAAAATGCCAGTGCTATCTGTGGAAGGCTGGATGATAACATGTGACCCGAGTGACAGAAATAAATGTGTCCTGGCAAAAAGGAGCCATTAATCTGAATGAAAATATTACCACACAGTGGGCAGATTAATCTTGGCAGTTTATGGTAGTGGCCCTCATATATAAACCTTATTCTGTGTTCTCACAAATGCCCAATCAGTAGACAGCTGCCCCAGTGTTAATTGTGACTGTGTGGGACACTTGGGTAAAATCTTCCCATGTTAATGATCCTGAATTTCTAAATGCTCTTATCCTAAAATTGATTCTTAGTTTAAGCCAGATTAGCAGTGTGGGTCTTTTAGCTTTTTTATTTGTTTGATTTTTTTGAAAATATTTATATATTGGGGGTTTAAACAAGGACTATTTTTTGTTTTTATTTATTTTTTTTTTTGCCACACTCAGAACACCTTAGCTAATATGTGAAGTAATTAAAAAATTATTGTGGAAGTCTTCCTGTCTGGTTTGATTGATGCTAGTAGTTGATTAATTTAAAAAAAGTTATAACAAATTATAAATACATACCTTCTGCTTTTCATTTTAATATTAAATCTGTATACAGATATATTTTTTTTTATTTGCTAATATATGCTATTAGGTCAAGGCCTAGCTGGAATTCCCTGACATCTTTCTTGTATAAATCATACCCACAGTGCTAATCTCTGTGATTTTCAATCTGTGTCTCTCTAAATTGGCATGGTAATTTAAAGATATTGGGAAACAATCTAAATGCAGAATCCTCCTAGATTTTTACTAAATTTCCCCCTAAAACTTCTTAGTTATCTAACCTACATCAGCTTTAGTATTTTTAATGACTTATCTTGATGAAGTCCATTAAAACATTCTGCTTAGTTTTGATTAAAAACAACAAATCACTTTCTGTTTACACTCATATTTCATGGATTTATATGGAATCATCTCTTTACATACTATTTAATTAATAGAGTTGGAGTAAAGAGGCTTGGGACCAAACCCAGTACACTTGGTGGTGAATGTGTGACTCAGTTGATGGGGCTACCCATGCATGGGTACACCAGAGAAGTCCACCAGGTTGACTCTGCAGAATGCCCTTCACATCAGGGCATGTTCTACAGAGGAAATGGACATCATCGCTTCATTAAGCCTGTCATGTTTTTCTGTAAACATCTACAAATAGCTATAAGTGAAAACAAATAAAGAATTTAATTTTGTTTGTTTGTTTGTTTGTTTTGAGATGGAGTCTCACACTGTCGCCCAGGCTGGAGTGCAGTGGTGCAGCCTCTGATCACTGCAACCTCCACCTCCTGGGTTCAAGTGATTCTCCTTCCTCAAGCTCCCAAGTAGCTGGGATTACAGATGCTCACCACCATGCCTGGCTAATTTTTTGTTTTTGTTTTAGTTTTTTAGTAGTGACAGGCTTCCACTATGTTGGCCAGGCTGGTCTCAAACGCCTGACCTTGTGATTGGCCTCGGCCTCCTAAAGTGCTAGGATTACAGACATGAGCCACTGTGCCTGGCCAAGAATTTAATATTTGATATTATTTTCTCTTTATCAAATGAAAAGCCAGATATAGCTAAGTAAATGCCAACAAAACTGTTAGTAAATGAGGTACAATTCAACATTGATAAGTTCTGAATTGTCCATTTTACTACTTTGTACATTTATTATGTATGTGGTATATTGATTGCTTTGTGAAGCTGTTTAAAATTGTTCAAGAGCAGAGAGTGATAATCTGTCAAATGTGAAATAAAATTCGAGAGGTGAAACTGTCAACGACTTAACTGTTAGTACTGACTGACAGTGACAGGATTCAAGAGGTATCATAGATACCAATATACTATGTCAGTAGTATAATATGACCATAGTGGATATGGTCCCTGCTAAACAAATTAAACAAAAGGGCTTTGTTTTTCTTCCTAGTGCTTTGTATTTTCCCCCACTATAGAAAATGCATGAAGACTTTTTAAATGGTGACATTTATGGCTATGATAGATGTGTGCTTCTACAAGACCAAGTCCAGGTATTTCCATTGGGAATACAGGGAAGGAGTTGATTTAAGCAAGTGATTACTTAAAAAGGTTGGAGGGGGGGATTGGAAAAAGGATAGGAGAGAATGTTAATTGGGAGGGTTTCAAGTATAAAGGAGACTTAAGGATGGACATAAATGTAAATGTTAGGAACATATTTGAAATAACTTGGCCTTAGAAAAGAGGTTCACAGAAGCAAATAATTCAAGAACTGTAGGTTTTGTAACTAAGACACACTCATTGCCAAAATAAGAATGAACATATCTAAAATTTCACTGAGAAAGATCACAGATATACAGTATGTGTTGCTTAACAATGGGGATATGTTCTGAGAAATGCTGTTGGTAGGCAGTTTCATCATAATGCAAAAATCATAGAATGGATTTACATAAACCTAAATGGTGTAGCCTATGATACACCTGGGCTGTATGCTACAGCTTTTCACTCCTAGGCTACAAACTTGTACAGCATGTTACTGTAATTAATACGGTAAGTAACTGTAACACAGTGGTATTTGTGATCCAAACATATCTAAATAGATAATGTCCAGTAAAAATATGATATTAGAGTCTTATGGGACCACTGTTGTATAAGCTGTTCATTGTTGACCCCCCAAAAGTTGTTATGTGGTGCATGACTGTATTTAACATTATAAGAACAAGCAATCCCAAAGTCATTTGATTCAGGCCCCAATAAAGCA